CTAAATCACATCTCCGTGAACTTATCATGCTGATTCTGACCAATAATAACTTTGTTTTCGGCGACGGTCATTACCTTCAAATTCATGGCACAGCGATGGGCACCAAAATGGCTCCATCTCTTGCTAAACTTTGTTTTATATATATACAGATATATACATACTTTTTTTAAAGGTGGCCCATTCGCCACGATGGGACTCAGATTACGGCAATTCAAGCTGCTGCTTTGGAAAAATTGGCTGCTACAGGTTTGTAAAATCCTTTTATTATAATACATATCCTTTGATTTATATAAAAATGTGTTGGTAGTGATATAATGATGATGATGATATAATAATGATGATGATGATGATAATGATGATGATGTTTTAAACAACATGCAACCTCTATTCTGTGATGGTTTTGATCTGTTGTTTTGCTTCTAGGCTCTTGTTTGCAATAGTTCTTATTTATGTTTCACTACAATATTTATGTACAGTAATAACTTTTATGAAGACATAATAGTCTCTGTAGTAACAATAACATCCACATAAATTCAATCAATTTGGTTATAAAATATAAAATTCCAATGAGATAGAATTAAAGGGCCTATACCCAAACAACACAGAAACGCACTGCAACAAATGTATTATACAATTCGTGAACTTTGTTGTTGGCTTATATGTCAAAAAATAACGTTAATACGGTCAGAAATTACTTTATAAATTTATGGTGCCAGAAAAACAGTTTTGAAACCAAACTGCAGGGTTATTTAACGTAATATTGTTAGTTCAGAGACTTTATACAAAACATCTTAACCGGATTGTTGCCAATTTTGTAATAGTAAAATATAAACCGGTAATAATTATAATTTTACTTTCTTTTATAGCTTCGTAGGCCAATCGGGACTGTTTTTGAAATCCTCGTTCCATTGTGTTTCGCAGCGTTGCTGTTAATGACAAGGTACTGTAAAGGATCTCATTGCGAAGCAATTATAAGATTTAAAAAAATGCTTAATAAGGTAAAATAATTATGGCAGTGGCTATTGCTACACCAGTGTTTAAAACATTCCCAATTCTTATTGGATGTTATTTTCTGTATGGATTTGGAAAATAACCCCAATCCCAGAATTTAGTCTATGACTGGTGTAACAATAGCTACTGCAAATAATTAAAATCATATTTTGTTGCTGAATATTTTGTTTGTATTAATTAATGATTTTATGCTCTCAAATATTCAGCATGATGCTTAAATTATTATAACAGAAGATTTCAGTTCTTTTCTATCATTCTTTTGGAGTAATATGTTGTACGTCACATGCATACATTACACGTACGTTTAATGTGATTGTGTCTTTGCTTTAATTACACATTAATTAAGAAATATTAGAGTATCATATGAAGCATAATGACTGGCCTTATATAAAGTATTCTTAACAAATGATTCTAGTTCTCTTATAATTCTATTGATATATTTTTTACTTACGTCATTCGATTAATCAATTGTACCACGTGACTATTTTAATTGTGTCGGTGTCTTTGTGCTATTACACATAAACATTCGGCCATATTATATCAGTTTGTTGTGGTTCTATAGAATGCTGTAGAATTATATAGGCCTAATGTTTTGTATAAAAAATTAAAAAAAAAATAAAAATCATGGTAAATGATGGTGACAAAAATGGAAATTACCAACATATTCTGTACTGAAAATTATATTCTAGTGTAATTCTAGAAAAAACGGCTTGTTGCTTGAGTGAGCATTGAATATGTTATCCAAACATTACAAGTTTCATTATTCGCTTTCAGAATCCTTTTAAAAGCCGAGGTCAAGTGCTTTGGTAAGTTTTTTGTGATAGGCATACTGTAAAAGGCACCTGTTATGAGTCCAAAATGGTGTGTTCACCATTATGGAATGATTGGTTTTTCCCCTTAATTAGAAGATGCAGGACAAAGGTTAAGCCCTATAACAAGGCCCTGCAATGGGTGGGCCTGATCTTATATGCCCGGAACAATGCCAGAGGCCGTAGCCGACTTGCATCTAAGGCTGGAACATAGTGTGAACCATTTTTTACAGCCCGTAAATGCACTTTGCGATGTGTGCTACAGTATATGGAATCAGTGGCGTATCTAGGGAATATTGGAATGGTGTTTGGGTGTCGGGCGGGGAAGGGAGCTGGTGGGGTGCGCGAAGGTGCTGAGAGGGGCTTAATGGTCGATGGACCAACCCAGCTTTCAAAATTTACTGTCCGTGACTTTATGAATTGAACAATTAAAATAAATTTTTGTTAAATGTTATTTTCTGTTCTGTTTCAGCTACATATGACAACAGCATTTCAAACGAAGACCATACCTCTTTGTTTTTAAATTCACCAACAAAGGCGTTAAACAAGACCGATCTTTTTAATATTGACATTGCTTCCCTCTCCGATAAAGAGCTATGTGACTTAGGATTTTGTGAAAGGCTCACGTACTTCCCCCAGAATGAACTCAGTAAGTCTTACCATTTTAATTCTGCATATATATTCTTAAAAAACTTTTTATGTCATTATAATTTTCATATATTTTTTCATCGCTGTTGCATACTATAAAGTAAATTATTATTATTATTATTATTATTATTATTATTATTATTATTATTATTATTATTATTATTGTTATTATTATTGTTATTATCATTATTAATGTTGTTGTTAGTATTATTAATATTAATATTATTATTATTGATCTGCTGCTTTATTATTTTTATTATTATTATCATTATTATTATTGATCTGTTGCTTTACTTATAGGCTCCTGTTTGCTATAGTCCTTATTTATGTTTCACTATAATATTTATGTACAGTAATAATTTCTGTTATGGTTAAAGACATAAGAGTCTCTATAACATCCTCATAAGTTCAATGAAACATCGACTTATTCATAAAATATTTTATAGAATTCCAATGAGATATAAAGAGCCTATCCAAACAAAAAACAACCGTTATTATACCATAAGTGAACGTTGAAGGTTGTGTCAGAAAATAATGTTAACGCTACATTGCAAGGCAAAATCTACGTCATTTATTCAGCAATTAACGTTGTTATTAGTTGTGGTTATCATTGTTATTTATTGATCATTCACTGTTACAGTATTCAATCATGTTTTTTTTATATATATAAACTTACGTGTCAGTACTTTTATAATCTGAATGAAAACTTCATCAAGACACGTCGTTAATTAATGCGCTATTAAGCTCATTATATTACAATCTACATTTTTACATAGCTGTTGTGTTATAAGCTAAGCACTAACTGTGCCGATGCTGTGCTCGACGGTCGTCGTCCGACGCGATTTTATAGCCACGACGCGCGCGTAACGGATCGTTTTTAATTAAGAACGATCCGTTCAGACAGCGACCGATAATCATCAGACGGCTTCATGTCGTCTAGCGCTGACAGGCAGAGGAGTTGAATTCGTGGTACGATCGTACGACCGTCGTAGGCCTACGACGCAGTAAGTGTCTGGCTTTAGAGATTAGATGTGGATTCTATAACATCATAAAGGTGAAGAGTACCATCGTAAAATTAAGGTACACCTGTGAGCGGGTCAATGCAGGGCATGCTTCAATTTACACACAAAATAGTAATACCTTTATAGCCTACTTTTCAAAATAGTGTATATGGATATTAGACTTACATAAGTTACTTTCAGACAGACGGGCTGGCAATATTGCGGTAACGACGCCGGTATGTTTACCAAACAAATATTTCGAAAGCATTGAAGTAATACACAGGTGGGCAATGTGCGGCCCGCGGGCCGCGTGCGGCCCGACAGCGATTTTTTTTGCGGCCCGCGAAAATAAATTAAAATCCCTATATTTACGGCCCGCCAAGCAAATTGGCTAGAAAACACCTTGTTTTTTACGGCCCGACACCGATCATATATGTTAAAAGTAACATTAAAACTCAGAATACAGTGGTGTAAAAGCATTTCTTGGAGGTTTTTGACGGGTCACTGGAAACATCAAATTTTGGGTGCTGCCCTCGGTGTTAAATCGAAAATTCACTTTTGAAATTCAATTTGAAAATTCATTTTTATGCCCACCCCTGCCGTAATATAACGCCTTTCTGTATGAATGAATTACGTACTCTGGCATGCCATTGTCATTATGGAGATCCCGACAGGCGTAGGCTACGTGACCGGGGCTGGGGATTCAAAACCCCTCAGAGGGGGTCCAATGACGAAACCTGGAAGCTCCGAAATGATGTCTCATAATCTACAAATAGGTCGATTACATACATTTTTCTCCCCTTGTGTAATGTTTTCTTTGTGATGTAAGGGCAGTGGAGGGGGATTTTACCAGCTCTCCGAACAACACATACATTGTGTACAGGTGTGACCTGGTTTTTCAAAAAGGTTCACATTGATTATTTATGCAAGACCGGTTTCTGACACAGCATAATGCATATCAATCGATTATTACACAGTGGATTAGTTCTGACTAATAAAAACGTGCCATGGCTATGTGCAGTTTGACGGATTTACGCAGTTTGAAACAGCCTTTTGCATCTGCATCTGTTACGTTCAGCACTATGCCTGGGGTGGCTACCCCTTGCAGTGTGCGAGCATTGGGTTGGTCAACAATATTTACTTAGTTGTTATAAGATGGGTGCGGTTGTCGATATCAAGCATCTCCTTTCGTCTGTAGAGTAGGTGCACAACGAGGCAGTGGTGGCGCCAGGACCTGCCCGACGGGGGGGGGGGGGCTGGGGGGGCGG